GAGCGCCGGCCCTCAGTGCGCGTGCGCCAGTGGGCCGCCAGACTGGCCGCCCGGGGTAGCCCTGGGTCAAGGCGCTGGAAAGAGAGGTCTACCCGCGAAGGGGAGTCGTTAGTCCCTCTCACCTTTCATTTCTTCTTTCAACACATTCTAAGATCCTCCTGTTTGCTAGCACTTACTAGATGCCAGGGACACAACCAAAAGCCAGAAGCAGGACTACACATTACCATCTCAGTGTGGTTCCGGCTATGGTGTTCAAGAGGGTCCACTTTAGGGATGACATTCAAGCTGACTCCGAGGCATCCGACCACAGGAGGATCTAGAGGAAAGCCATCTGGGCATAGAGGACAGCAAGAGCAAAGGCCTGGTAAAGACAAAACCACCCTGGAAGCTGGGCAGAATGGTGGCATGACCATAGAATCCTCAAAAGTCTGGCAGGAGGTCTGAGAGATGTAAAAGGGGGAAGGCCTTGTAGATAGTAGGAGTTTCAATGATACAGTAATTTGGTAGCCACAGGCAGACAAATAAGCCTGGAAGAGTTCAAACATGTTCCTTGAGAAAAGGGAGTAAGGTTCAGAACAAGAACGACTACTGTGTTTGTTTCTCCTCTTGAGCATTTTCATCAGGACTCCCAGGACTAGGTCTGCACGCTCCTTCTCTCCCCACACTCTGCCCTGGGCCCTGGGCCAGCACTGCTTAATGGAGTTGAGCAGACCACAAGCAATGTTATCCTTTGCCCCTGGGGAGGGGACAAAGGTAAAGTGGAAAGGCCATGCTATTTCCCAAGGTGCCCCTTCACTCACACCAGATTGGAAGGGGATAGAAAAAGGTGGAAACCTTCCAAGGATGTCAATGCCACAGACTGGGTGCTGACCAAAGGCCCAGTGGGCATAGAACAGTCATCCCTCTCTTTGTTGGACTCAGCCAGAAAGTGACTAGATGTAGCCTTGGGAACCTGAAATGCATTTGGGGTGGTTAAACACCACCTGGTAATTACTCAGTATTAATTAAAATCCTCACTAGGACCTCTTGTATTGGCTTGGCACACACCCAGGAGCTCTGTGCTGCTGAGAATTGTGCTCAGTGCTCTAGGCCAGGCAGGCTTGTAATTCCGAAGTGTCTCCCTGGACAAGTTTCTTGACTCCTTGGAGGAGTACTGGGCCATCAATTTTGTGAGGGGAGGGCTAGTTTCCAGCTTGTTCCCTGCTAAGTCCTTACTGCATACTTTTGAAGAAGATTTACTGAATAAATGAACAAATGAATGATAATTCCACACAGCAAGAAAAGCCTGTGAAACTGCTCTCCTGACTTCAGTCTCAAAACTAGGATCCTTTGTTTCAAAGCTGCGCTTCTGATCTCACAATATGAAGACTTTACTAAGGACAGGTAGTGAGGGGCTGGGGAGCAGGGTTCCTCTACTCTTTTCTGCTATTTGGTAGACTGGCCCTTCCAAGTGTTCCAGGAGTCAGCCCATACCCAGGAAACTGGGGTGAGATTCCCACTGCCACACCTGGAATCTGACCTGCTTCAAGCAATCCTACCACTAACCCTTTAGAAATGTCTTTCATTTCCAAACTTCCCGAGTTTCACAACTTCACTTCCCAGTTTGCCCATTTCTCCCCTGTATGTTTTAAAGGTGGACAGGCACCTGTACAGTTAGGACGCCGACTTCAATTACAAAATAGGGTAGAGGGAGGCTACTCCAGGGCTGACAACAGAGTAGGGCGCAGCGTCTCCCAGCCACTCCAAGGAACCCGTCAGTCTCTGCCAGAAGCAGGCTAGTCCTCCTGGCTTGTTCTCAGATGCCCCACAGCTTGACCATCCATCCATATAGCACACATGGCATTCAATGACATCCCTGGACCTGAAGAGAATGAGGGCCACAGAAAGCAGGGACCCCATAGCTGCCCCTCATCTGTCTCCACAGACCAGCCTCAGAGTAAGGATGGAAATCCTGTCTCTAGGCCCAACTTGACTTCCGTCCCCTTGTACCTGGTCCCTAGAGTAGGGATCCATCTCTGCCCCTTCTGGGAAACCCTTCAGTAGCAAGGGGAATCCCAAGAGCCTACATGAATGCCCAGTTGGGCTGGCAAAAGAATAGAGCCCTGGAGCATGAGAATATAAGGGGCCTGAGTCCCACATCTTCTACCTTTACCCTCCTAATACTGCCTTCATTCAAGCCTGTCCAGCTGCACCACTGGGAGTTACCATGGCAACCGAACCCATAGGCAGCCAGTAACTGGGAAACAGCTGCCAACAGCAAATGATGGTGGGTAGAAAAGGTCAAGAGCAGAGACCCTCAAAAGCAAGAGAAATACAGAGACCATGGTAGAGAAAAGGAGGCCCCAGAGCCCTGACAGGTATTCAGCTCCAACCTCCTACTCACTACCCAGCATATAGTCATCATTGTGCACAGACTACCACATCACCAACCTCAGACAGACACAGACACAATGGGGCCAATTCTCAGAAGTGCTTACAACTATGGATGCCAAGTAACACAGGTAGGTCACATGTTTAACCTGACAGCAGTGTGTCTGGTGAAAATGAACATGGGTAGGATACCAACTGCTATTTCCAATGAAACAGTAGATTTTATGTTTTCTTGACAGGTTTATTATTTAAAAGGTTTTTTTTTTCTCTCTTTCCAGAAGAAGGTACGTACCCAAACTCCCCCAGATTCCTCTAGAGGACAGCCTGCTCCTGGCCTAGACCCCCTCATTCACACCTTCTGCCCTCCGATACCCTCTACCTACTGTGACGGACACAGCCCTAACAGGAACACTTCACTGCCCAAAGAGGCCACTGTTCTAAGCCACTCCAGTCCCCTACCCATCTCCTGAGACCTGTTGGTCACCTAACCACCTCTACATGCCAGCCTCCTGGTCCAGTCCTCCCAGCATATTTAGTATCTACCACCATCAGTTTCTATTTTGCCTTAGAAGTGTTCATGAGCCTCTGGTGGACAGAAAGGGTTGGGGAAGTGGGCTATGTTTCATCTACCCTCACCCAAGCTTCCATAATGCTTCCCCCATGAGGCCACTGTTTTTGGTCCAGTTATTTTAACGAGCATTCATGCTCAAGAGAGCAGTTAATTCCCAGGCTGCCTGTTTCTATCCCTGCGAGCCACCCGCTCCCCAGGACACTGTCCTGAGAAAGTGTCAGTCTCTGTAGCGGACCTAGGGTCTGCCTCTGAGACAGCTCAGGGCAAGGACAGAACCTGGGAAGCAAGGGAGAGCCTGGCTGGAGAGCCACAGGCCTGCATGCTGAGTAGAGCAGAGAAAGCAGAAAAGGGAGCCCTCGGGAGTACTTGGCTCTGGGGCCTTCCCAGTGCCTGTTGGGACTCTGTGTGCTGTCCCTGGCCTAACTCACTGGCCAGTTGCCTGGACTCTGACCCCACAGTAGACAGGCCTCTTGGAGCTTGGGTCAAGCAGTCCCAGGACAACCTCTGACAGCATCACAAGCTTTTCTTCAGGCCTGTGGACACCCAGACACCACTTTATTATCCACACTCTGATCAACTTGCTAATGATCTTGGCCGGTCAGTTTATGGTGTCTGAGCCTTGGCTTCTACATCTGAAAGTAGGGGTAAAAATCCCTACTCATTAAACATTGAGTTACATGGGGATAAAGCAATGAGAATGAACCCATGAAGAGGTTAGAAAGGGCATAAGGGGTTCTAGCCTCAAAAGAACTGTGGGGAAAGAACTATGGGTAGAGATGCTATGACCTTACAGCAGAAATGGCACTACCATTGCTTCTAATAGGCTGAGGTTGCAACAGCCAGCCCTCTGTTCTTCACCTCTGACCCAGTTATACTCTTCTTTGTTCTTGGGTGAGGCTGTTATCACCAGCTGGTTGTTTTAACAATCACTGGTTTCTACTTACAACTGCCCGTGACAGAGAAATTGCTTGGGAGGGCCCCAATATCTCCTGCACCCTTACCCCCATCAGGGAGAGAAAAGATATATCAGGAACAGGTGGCATTTCAAAGTGCATCATAAACAGGAAGTGCCAGCCAGGAGGGAATAACTCACCATCTGCTCTGCTCCGATCAGAAATATGCCTCCGCGGACTTCCCTATTTGACTTAACATCTATTGAACACTCAAGGGAGTAAAAGTATCTATCACCACTAACATCAAGGAACCAAAACATTCCATTTTAAAATAGAAACTGTTTCAAAGGGCAAATCATCCAGAAGCAGAGACTGTAAAAATGATCCTGAGCCATGGGAATGGTTGGCATTTGGCTAGAATACAAATATACTTAAAGGGGCTGTAGGCAAAGGCCGAGGTTTCAGGACTGTCCCAAGGATGGGTAGTGCCAAGAAGAGCTTCAAGAGCCACAGATGTGGCCACCTCCTAATCAGTGAGAGATTAAGCAAAGATACCCTGCAGCATGAGAGGAGGCAAGCATAACACTGAAGTAATCTTCCCAGGCAGAGGGCACACAATTTTCATCCCTAAA